TCTAGCATGTCTAACGTCACAAATATGACCTCTTTAGACTTGTCGATTATAAAAATATAAGACATTGTTTTTCAAATTTTCTTTTAAGGTTTTCAAGAGTAAGAACAAAATAATAATCCGGTGAAGTTTTAGTGTCAGGGAATGTTTCTTACGCGTTCACCCTTCTCTCGAAGTTGCCATTGCATCCTGCCGTGTTTTGTTCGAAAAACAGGAATAAAATCGATTTTTCAAACTTTTTTTAATTTCGCCTTTAAAATGAATCGTTTGAACCCAAAACTATTTTTCCTTAAATAAGGTCACTAAAAGGGATGTTTTGGCAAAATAATAAAAAATACGATTTTTTGACCAGTGTCTTGCGATTCTCGATTTTCTCAGAAAATGGCTCTTAATTGCTTGATGATCAGCCAGTCAGTTTACAGTATGTTTTTTCATTCATTAAGCTTATTAATGTACGTTACGTTTAAGATTACTTACTTATTCTAACTTTGCTATACTGTGATCTTCAATTTTGCTTTTTTTGCTTGAACGTATACTAAACATAGCCAAGTTTCCATTAAGCCGACACCTTCCCTTACCATGAAGGTGGCGCTTAATCTATGGCTGGAGGTTATACTGCAGTATAGTAAACATTAAAAATCAAACACACTGCATCATGAGTTTTTTATTTTCTTATGTGCAGTGGAACTTTCCGTTGGACAGAAATAAAAGACAAAATTCTGTTAAGAGAAGTTCGCTTTGTTGAGCCATACCAATTCAAGGCTGGATCTAAGGAATCCGGCCAAGCCTGGTCTGAAGTTGCAGGTGCTGTAAACCGGTATGGTGGATTCAAAGTTATGCCTAGAGACCAAAGAAGAGTCCAAGATAGATTAAACAAACTGCTTGGTGATTACAAGACAAAAATGAGAAAAGAGGAAGGGGAGTCAAGAACAAATCCCGAGCCCTAACCTGAAGCAGAAACCATTTTATAAGAAATTGAGGGAAAAAATCAGTGAAATCAGCAGACTTGATTTGGTTTCAATTTCAACGAAAGAAAGTGAACAGAAGAAGAGCGAAAGCAAAAAGGCTATGGCAGTTAGAGATGCAGCAATGAAAACGTGGGGAAAATTTAAAGGTATCACTGATTCTGATGAAAAAGATGGTCCCAGTGAGAAACCTAAGAGGCGGAAAAGAAGATCTGGTGGTAATGCTCTGCAGTACCTTGAAGCTAAATTTCAAGCTGATACAGAAGTGAAAAAGGAAGAAGTATGAATTGGCCAGCATGAATTGGCCTTACAACAGAAACTACAAGAGCATTTTGAAGTTCAAACGCTTCAGAAACAGCAGCACTTACAGTAGCAAGCATTGCTACAGCAACAGCAGTTCAGTGCAATTGCAGCAAATTTAAAAAACTCAAAATTTAATACTTGCTTTATTGCAGAAAGTTTCTAAAGAATAACATGATTTCCAACTTATTCTATGATACACAGAGTATCGTTTTGTACTTCTGTCTGGATTTGCAAAAAAGTACCTCTAGGATTTTTTTAGCAACAATATCATTTGAGGCTTGTAATCAGTACTTACATACATACATACATACATACACTTTATTGATGCTCCCTAAGTGGGCTTTTCAGCTCAATAGAATAAAAAAATACAAATACATAAATTAATTGAGAATGTAAATACAATAATATTATAATTACAAAATATATATCAATAATATAATATATCAACTTAATAAAACATTTGCAAGATGACGTCTAAAATTCCTGGGGCATTTTAAGGACTTAATGTTATCATTCAAGGAGTTCCAGAGTTTGGCTCCTCTGAAAGCAAAGGAGCGCTGCCCTGTTGACAGGCGACATAAAGGTATATCCAAAGCACCAGATGATCGAGTTTGTCTATTATGGACTTGAGAACGTGATTTAAACATATCAGCAAGATAGTCTGGAACAAGCTTGTTAATACATTTGTGCATCATAGTAGCGTCATTTAGAATGAGTTTCTCTCTAATAGGAAGCCATTTCAATGATCGCAACCCATCCGAAATATGGTCATACTTTCTTAGTCCCAGAATAATTCGCCCAGCAAAGTTTTGGACTTTTTGTAACTTGTCAATATTGCTGCTGCTGGTATTACTCCAGACAGTTGAACAATATTGGAGTTTACTAAAGACAAATGAATTTATTACTAACAGAAGTGTTTTCCTATCCAGGAGGTGCTTGATTCTGTTAATTTGGTACAATTTAAAAAGGCATTTAGAGGCAATCTCAGTGATATGTTGGTTATAACTGAGGCGTGTGTCGAGAAGAACACCCAAGTCCTTAACGACAGGCACAGGTGTTATTTCCTTGTCAAAAAGTGTTATACTGAATGATGACAGTTTCTTTAAAAGTTGTGGTAATCCAACAGCTAGAACCTTAGTTTTGTCCGGATTAATCAAAAGAGAGTTTTTACAGCACCACTGAGATATTCTCGTAAGATCTTCGTTTAAGGCGAGGATGGACGTGGGTAATTCGGCAGGTGAAAAGGACAAATACAATTTACAATCATCAACATAGGAGGCAGATAGACAACGTTTAGGAACAGAAAGGAGGTCGTTAACATAGATTGTAAACAAAACCGGACCTAAAATAGAGCCTTGCGGAACTCCGAACTCAAGTGGGAGTACTTTAGAAACTGCGTCACCAATTCGAACGCACTGTTGTCGGTTAGAAAGGTAACTCTGAAACCAATCCAACGCACCCTGGGAAAAATCGAGATTTTGTAGCTTGGATAACAAGATGTCGTGTCGAATACTATCAAATGCTTTAGACATATCTAATAAGACCATGATGGAAACTTTCTTGTTATCCATAGCCTGGAGCAACTGATCTGTAACGTACAACAGAGCTGTTTCTGTCGAGTGAAGCTTTCTATTTCCGCTCTGATGTGCTGCCAGTTTATTATTTCTAATTAGATGCTCCATAAGTTGTCCATGTACCAACCTTTCAGTGACTTTTGAGACTATTGGTAATAATGAGATGGGGCGATAGTTGTTAGGGACATCTGGATTACCGCATTTGAGAATAGGTGTAACCTCTGCTGTTTTCCATGCACGTGCAAATGTGTTGGTAACAAAGGAGTTATTCACAATGTGGGTAATTGTTGTTAGCGTACTGGGTAAACTGTCTTTAAGAATTCTAGAAGATATCTTGTCCATTCCAGGAGCTTTGTTAGATGGTAGGCTTCTAATCACCCTTTCTACCTGATTTTCCGTGACTTGATGGAGAACGAATAATTCGGGGCTAACGTCGGTGGATATGTGTAAAGGAGTCGGCACATCCAAATTTACATTAAGTCCATGATGTAAAGATAAGTCCCTGGCTTTTTGAGCAGTAATACTGCCGACGGAAGTGAAGAAATCATTTAATTCGTTAGCTAACCCAGTGGGATCCTCAGAAGCCATAAAACTATCTTGTTGTTTACGTGGTAGACACCGGTTAATGATTTTCCAAATTGAGTTAGAATTTCCATTGCTATCCAGGATCTGAGTCCTGACGTGAACTTTTTCGGCCACACGAATCTCCCTTTTCACTTCTTGACGAAAAAATCTGTACTTGATATTTTTTTAGTACAAAGAAACCTAACAAGCTGCAGTAGACATAAAAAGTAACATGTTCTTATAATGCTGTTTACATCCCCCCTTCCCCTACCTATCATTTCCCATCATTGTCTCCGTGTCACAAAACACTACTATATTTGAAATCAGCGCGCGCGGTAGAAGTTGTTTTGCGTGGTCGGCTAATTTTCAAGGTTTCATTATGGCCACCTGCAGCAAAGTTTTCCGGAAGACACCATTAAGCCTTATGAAGGAACAAGGCTCACGATTGGCAAAGTCTGCCGTCGTCCAATATATTACCGTATTTCGTCTCATTTTGGCTAAACGGGTGAAACAGTGATCTCGGGCTTGAGACGGAAAGGCATCATATTGTGGGCGGTGACGAGTCTCTGGCCTCAAGAAGTAGTTTGCAGGAGTCAAATCTATTCGGTGAGAGCAAAATTGATGCATATTTCTGACCAGGCCAGAAACTTAGTTAAAAATTGTTTTGAAGGCCGGCCCCTATGTGTCCCTGTCAAAACGGCTCGTCTAGATCTGGGATCTTGAATAAATCGACTGCGTCAGGAAAGGTTACATGTGATGATTTACGTGGAGAAAGCGAGAGTAATATATGAGAGGGTAGGGAATTCTGTCATTTTGGTCTGTAAAAAGTTCCAAAAGGACTATTAGTGTCGAGAAAACATTCTGGTTTGAGGTTTATTCTTATCTTAAGGTGATTCACTGGTTTTGCACGGCGCATCTCTCACCGCGCATAACAAGATGGCTGCCGTGAGAAAGAGCATCGAAAGTAACATTATTAAAATGAAGTTAACTGAAGAGAAACGCTATAAGAATTTTTGCTAGCGGTTGTTTCTTGCCAAAATGAGACTCTATGTGTTGGGAATGTGCATAACGTAAGCAGTACGCGTGTTGCTTATAGTTCGACTTCCTCACGGAGAACCTCGATAATAGAAGTTAAAAGTCCTACGCGAACTCACTTTGATTTTCATTTATGCGCCATCTTTATCACATTGCGTCCTAACTGTGATATCTCGATGTGAATTCTGTAAAAACGGATTTTTTAATTCTTTCTTCCCCCTGCCACATATATGCCATTTTGAAACTCGCCCCAGTCCTCTCTCAAAAATAGGACAAAATGCATTTAGCACACACTTTCTGCAGCTCTGCGGCAAAAAGGAGTACGGTGACCCCCATATTTTATTTCATGATTTTAAGAAGAACAGTGCTGCCCTTCAATGAGAAAAAAATTGTCATGAATCTATGTTCAGTTTTTTGACAATTTTACTAAATTGTGCGGATTGAGCTATAATGGGTTCAATAGCGCGCGTCAAAATTAAGTCTTCTTTGGAGCGTAAAGTAAAACAAGGGCAAAAAAGGCATTTTCTGGTACGTAAGTGGACAAACAATACAGTTAATTCAAATTCTGTGCGACACCACATGCATCATCTAAAAAAATCTCCTCTTTTGTCTAGTTTTGGGCTGCGCGGGGTTTTTGCCAAAGGGTTCTAAATAGCCGTATTTGTCAGCATTGTGACGTCAAAACGAGCACGGTGACTTCTTTTTTATCATCTTCTTGACTTGTACCAAGTTTCATCTACAATCTATGTTAGGTTCTTTTACTAAGGCATCACCTTAAAGAGAGTGTCAGTTTTTTAAAGCAGCTAAAAGGTCTACACGAGGTATGCGAAAGTGGTACCATTTGTTAATAAAAGCTAAATGAAAGCAGTACTTTTCTGCCAAAAATGGTTAATAAGTGGGTAAGGGGTTGGACCTCAGGGTGGAGTCTCCAAATGGCCCGAAACTTAACGGCGTTTGCCCTTTCAAAATAGCACATTGCAAAAGACTAACAGACTTTTTTGAAAACCAGCCTAACGAAATCTGCAGTCATTTGAGTAAAAAGGTGTCAATAGGCAGGCTTTTTGGAGCCGTTAAGCTCTAAAATCACACTAAAGAACGACAAGGAAAGGAGAAAAAGAAAGAGTGAGGAGGAAGAAAGGAGGAGAAGAGAAAAAAAAATGGTTGCACTCTTATTTTTTCTAATGGCTACTTGACTTTTTTGGCCAAAAAAACTGTTACTATAGACGGAAAAAGGTCCATTTGGCGGTAACGTTTTTAAAACTCACCCGGCTAGATATATAAAAATACGTAACTGTAATTACCCCTATTTATTATAACTTGTTATAGTGTAATTGATAACTAGTATATATGATATGAATCATTTGGAACACGTTGATCTACCAGCTGGTATAAGACTCCAAATAAGAAATATTGTCTTGTCTTGTATTGTCATCAATTAAAGCAGAAAGTTAGCCACTCGAGCCAGTAAGTAGTTAAAATTTGTGAAGGTGAAATTACAGCTTTCATGAGCTTTGCAACTTGACAGCATTACTGATTACAAAATTACACATTCGTGCAAACATGTCGTTCACTAGTTTCCATTACTCGGGTCTGTTCCTTCCAAATCGCTCGTGTGCATTTGCAAATTGATCACTGGCTATTGCTGATAGAGTGGAGAGTTCCATGGCCAGCGCGAATGAAGCAATTATTTCCGAAAATCGGTAGATACGACCCTGAAATAGAGGAGGAAATGGATTTCTTTGAAAATTAAGAAAAAACTTTCAGTCTTTTGTTTGTTTGTTTGTTTTTAATTTCCTTTGACACCAAAAAA